TTTGCAGGTTTTTTAATATATATTTCAATTTTTCATATGTATATTTATTTATATTTATTGGTATTATTTCCGGCAATGTTACCGGCAATTTGCCTTACCAGGTTTTTGGGTTGATTCATTTTGAAATTCGTTAAATGTAAGCGTCAAGTAGAAAAAAGTCTTATTTAAGTTAAGAAACTTAACAATATTAAAGCGCCTTCCAGCTAATTCGAATTAAACCATCATATATTCAGTAGCAAACATCATAATTTACAGCTAAACCACGCTGTCTCACTCACTTACAGAGTCGTGTCGAACGCAACAGTTCATTAAACCTTTTATTTCCATCTTCGTCTATCTCTTTCGTACTTCCACTAACAACAGTCAGTTAATTTAATAAAGCTACTTTAATTACCTTTAATCTTAAACTGAGTGCCTAGAAGTATGCCACATCGAAGCTTGTAAATAAATGGTAGTCACAGTAAGTGCCGCACAAGACTTTGAGGTGTCTATTACCTGCTACAGGCGATAAATAATGCACAAAAGTATGCAATGATTTCTATTGTTAGTGAATAAGTTGTGCGTTGCTGTGTATAGCAGTGCCGCAGGTGTGGTCAGTTTACCTAAACGATGAGATGGGGCGTATATTTTAATGGTGGGTACGTCTGTATTCAGTTTTAGGTAATTAACATGATTGTTAAAGCTTAAAACACTTATCAAAATTAATTTAAATAAAATATTAGTGTAGATGAAAGTAGGGTAACGAAAACAACGAAAAATTTGCTAATAAAAAATATATGAATCGAATTGCTTCTAGTTATTTTGAAGAATGTTTGTGAATTGAAAATTTATTTCGAATACAACTCTATTTCGAAAAATTCAAATGCCCTTTCAGTGTCGCTTCATGACTCACTTTAGCAACCCACATACCTCCATCCTTAATTTTCTTCTCGTAGTATTATTTGTGTAATATTTTAAAGAGTTGATACTGCTGATTTGTCTTATATAGAATTAACGTTGAAAGTATTCCGATGATTTTATAATTACTTATTGATTCCTGCTATGGAGGCACACTTCACAATAACGTGTATAAAACAATATTGCTTTTGATGCAGATCGCCAAAGCAAAATCTATTGAGCAACGGATGAGTATTTTTGTTTGTGGCTCTTGTATGATTTTGCTGTGCGACAGTGCAACTACTTCATTATTTTCTTACCTATTTTTAAGCTATATGGAACCCAGAGGTTAGTCATAATGGGGAGTACCGCATAATTCGTACAGCTCATTGTTCCATGGTCTGCAGTATTCGCCGCTGGTAATTTGCAAAGGACCATAAATCATTCGCAAAATTTTTTCTCTCGAAGACTCCGAAAGCCGACTCATCAGCTGCAGAACGGGTATGATGAGCGACTTGTAGACTTTGGTTTTCGTTCGCATCGGCATATGTAGTTGTACACTCTTATAGAAGATTGTACCTTCTCTTTTTTCTCCTGTACCTTCTTCTATTATTCTCTCCAGCAGTAAAATAAAGAACTCGCACGATAAATAATCACCCTGTCTGATACCCCGTTTGGTACCGAACGGCTCGGAGAGGTTCTTCCCAATTCTGACTGCGCTTCTGGTGATGTATAGCGTCAGTTCAATGCTCGATAGGACCTTATAAGCGATGTTAAGCAGGCTTATACCACGGAAGTTGGCGCAGACTGTGGTATCGCTTTTTTTGTGGATTGGGCAGTGTACACTTAGGTTCCAATCCTCGAGCATGCTTTCATCGGACCATATTTTGCATACAACTTGACAGCTCTTCCCCGCCATGTTTGAAAAGCTCGACCTGAAGGCCGTCAGCCGTCTGTGCCACTTCACAGATTGGGACTTCGGGCTCACCATATCCGGCAATTTCATTTTCGCAGCCGTTCAGTAGGCTGGAGAAGTGTTTCCTTCATAAATTCAGTATACTTTTGGCATCCATCACTAGATCACCCCTCTGGGTTACAAGGGTTTGCTTGGGTCTCGAAACCTCACGTAAGTTGCAGTATTTCTCATAGAATTTTTGCGCATTACCCTTGTTGGCCAGCTTCTCAAGCTCCTCGTACTCACGTATATCGGCCTTTTTCTTTTTTTCCCTGGAAATGCGTTTTGCTCCCTTCTCCAGCTCTCGGTATCTATCCCACCCCGCACCTGTTGTAGTCGATCGCAAGCGTGTGAGGTAGGGAGACTGTATTCCCTCCATTGGCAGTCCTCGTCTTGCTAGCTTTTTTTCTAGCACTGCCGAGAACCAATTGTTTCCTAGTTTCGGAGTGTACGCACGTCGAGAACACTGGAGACATCCTGGCGTTGAAGTCGCCAAACTCAATTTTGACAACTTGCCGGGGCAGCTTTCATAAGTATGTTTAAGGCGCTCTTAAAAGTCATCTTTTGCCACATCGTCCTTTTCTTCCGTCGGGGCGTGGGCACAAGTCAACGATATGTAAAAGAATTTCATTTTGATGCAGGTTGTGGCGAGACGGTTATCCACCGGGGTGAATGCCAGTACTCGACGACGGAGTCTCCTTTAATTTTATGAGGACATCAACCAGCTGGACAGCGGCACCTTCCCAATCAAGGGACCGGACATTCCAGGTGCATGCCCTCAAATCGTGATCCTTAAAACAATTGCGGGGATCGTCGCTTTCTCCCTTTAGCTTGCCTCCATGCGGATGTTTGTTGGCTACTCAGGAGGTACTTGATCTAAGACCAGAAGCCGTGAGCAGTTTGAACCATATGCAAAACCAGCAACGCTCACGAAGCTTCTGACAAGTCAATATATACGTATGTGACGTTGTCCTGATGAAACACAATTCCCTGGCCGTTAGACAAAATTTGGTATTCCTGGGCGATGCTTCCTTCAGACGGTCTAATTGCTGAGGGCACACATTCCTATAATGAGTTTGGCTGTAGGAGTCATATTAGAGGATACATTAATGGATCGATATTTTTACGATTTAGCAGATGAAATTTAGCTCTATGAGGTTTCTTCTCGCTAACTTTAGTGCCAACCTTGTGTATCCTGATTTTTTCCTAGTTTCTAAACTAGTTATTTATGCCACGTTTAGCTTCTGGACAACCAAAAACGTTCTGTCAAGACGGTCAGACTTCACGATTTCCACTATTTTATTTACATTTTCGACAAATGATTTTCCCCGTCGGGGAGAACATTTTAAGTCAAAGCTGCCGGAATGTAATCGACGATATCAAAATTGGACATGATTGGCGGTTGCATTATCAGGACCAAAAGCTCTACTCACCTGAAACATTACAGCGTTGCGTAATTCTCTTATTAGAAGAGAATTCTGTTATTATCGATTTTAGTACAAAACTTTCATCAACTTTCTCAACCCAACCCACTTGTAGTACGCGAAATACAGCTCACTAAAGCTTGTTATTGCAAAATTTTGGTTTACTTTTTACTAGACCTATTATTGATCCAATATATTATTAATTATATATATATATATTTCATCAATTCAGCTGATATGTTTATAAAGGGTGATTTTTGGGCTACTATCTTTTTGCCAACTCTGGTTTGAACAGCTGACGCAGGTTAATATTCACATAGCACAAAGTTGGGATGGCCCTCTATAAGGAAGGTATGAAGAGACTGGCTGAAAAGAAGGGTTCATAATTACTGGGTGTCAGCACATGTCTAGCCTAACCTGCTTAAAGTTCTATTTCAAAAGATTGCCAGACGTGCACACTCACAAAACGATGACAAGCTTAGAACACCAAAGATTTCGGAGAGCAATTTACTATTAATGTGACAGGTAAAAGACTTTGTTTTTGCGGGTGAGAAGAAGAAAAATGCCTTCCGCCTCATCATCATCAATGGTATGTGCCACTTTCAGGTCACTAAAAAACTCTCCTCTCGGGAACCATCGGGGCCTGGTAATTTCTTTGATTTGAGCTTACTTGCCGCTATTTGTAGCTCTTCGGTAGTGAAAAAAGGTGCTTCTATAGGAAGATTCCCCAGCCCTGCTTGTTCTTGCTGGAAATAAGGTCTTAATAATCTGATCCATTTTTGGTCCAGCAAACTCTGCAGAAAGTGTCTAAGCTTTTTCATCACTACTCTGTACCCTAGCCCCCAAGGAACCCTATTCAGATCATTACGTAACTTCTCCCACCTTTCTTTTTTACTATTCTCGATGGCACACTTTAGTTCTTTTTTCGCAGAATGGTACATTTCCATTTCTGTGGATGCATTGCCTCTTCGTCTGTTCCTTGTATAAACCCGCCGAAGGCGAAGACACATTTTCCTTAGTTGCGCTATGCTCTCAGTCAACCAGTACGCAGCTCGTTTATGCCTCCTATTCGTGGCTCTTGGCATACCCGTATTACACGCTCGAGTTAATATGAACATTGTGTCTTCCACAAATTTCTTAGCGTTTTCTGAGGTGTTCTTTAAGATGGCTTGTTTATCAATTTCGGATAGTAGTAGGCTAGTGTTTAGCTTGGAAGTATTCCATTTGCGGAGAGAGCTATGTGTACTATTTTGAGAAGGTCGGACTCGAGTTTCTGTTGTGAAGTTTATATACTGGTGATCACTGCCAGTATAGTCCTCCAGGACTTCCCCGAGTATTACAGAGACTTGAGCATCTCTTAAAATTTAAATGATTTGTAGCAAATTGTGGGCATCATGGAATTTCTATGTATATATATATAATTGTTCGTTCGTAAGGAGCCCGTAATAAATATATGGAGATGCATTTTTCAGCAGAAATTTTTATTTTATTTTATTTTTCTAATCCATTTCATTACCCTCAATTGAAAGAGATTTATTTGAATAAAAGTTGCCGACAAACTTTCTATTGTTCATTGTTCAAAATTTATGGCACTTTTCAGTTTAATAAATCCAATTGGCAATTTCTCAAACATTCCCTTAGACTCACTTACACGCACACACTAGACATAAGCACCTAAGCACTTATAGAGGCATACACAGATTGGCACTTAAGGGTACTAATAATAAATCTTTTGCTAATTTCAGGTGACAACAAGGTCAGCAACATACAGACGCACACAAACATAGAGAGAGATAGAGCGAGTGAGAGAGTGAGAGAATTGTGTCAAAGCATATAGAGCAGCTTAACTTAATCTACGCATACAAAACCATAAACTTTTTGGCCTTGCAACACGCATGAAATTCAATTTAATTTTTTTTTTTTTGGCGATATTGCAATGTCGAAAGGAGCAGCAAGTTTTGCGTATTTTCGGGTAAATACCACAATGGTGTATTATGTTGAGGGAAAAGCAAATGAAAACTGAAAACGTGGTGAAGGAAAATTGCCAACAGAAATTGTTACTTTCGAAGAAAATACACACACACACAACGTTGATATATGTACATATGTAATGAATGCATGCTTGTATGCCAACTTTTGTACGGTGAACCAAACAATGTGATCATCCTCACATACATACATGCAAAGGAGCATAAACGTATAAACATAAAAGTCAGTGCTTGAAGTGCTAACGAGTAGTTGATTGTTAACTTTCAACAAATGCCGCTGCACATACATATATGTGCAGTTAAGTATGTATGTAAGTATGCTGCTCAACCAACTTTCCAACACAACAATTACGACTACACACAAACAAGCCAACAAAGCGAGTGTGCTTAACTAACTAAAATAAGTAAGAACAATTTGGTATTTGTGGCTGTTTGTGTGTGTGTGCGCGTGTGTGTGCAGTTACCGTTGAAAATTTTTCGGCTTTCGTTACTTTCGAGTATTTCTGTGGTTGTACGCGTGCACTTGATGGGGATGAGCCATAGAGCAGATAAGAGCCGGAAGTAGTTGGAAAGACAGAGATATGTAGATAGATACAGGCTACGGGAGAAAGAGAGAGAGAGAGAGAGAGAGAGAGAGAGTGCGTATTCGTGGTAAGAAGTGAAGGAAATAATAAGAGGAAAATTCAACTTAATTAATTAAGCAAAAGAAAGTAATGTGAGCATCCTAGGCGTATGAGTAACATTTTTGCAACGACAAGTATCTGTGTTGGCATACATTATTGCTAGTCTGTAACAATGAAATGACTACACCAGTACAACAATACGAATTAAAAAGCTATACAGACAGACATATTTACTCAAAAAATTAACTGCCGCTCGCCCACTGCGCAACTATAAATTACAAGCAGCTTGGCCAGTGCTGCATGACATCTAATAACGGCGTAACGGTAAAGGCAAAGGCAAGTAATAAACAAAGGTGTCCTTAAGTTTGCAAACATACACCGTTACGCACTCAAATAAATCACAAAATCACCGTTCACAGCATGGAGCAATTTGTGCGCGAATATGCCGCACGTAGCATCCTGCCATATCTGCACATCTCCGGCGGCGCTGTACATAGATATGCACGCTATGCGTTGCCCAGCGACAATGCTGACATTGCGTACAGTGAAGGCAGCAGTAGCGTAGCAACTATTGTTGCTGGCAACAATAATATGATAAACAAAAGTCCAAATACAGAGAGTATAGCTGGCGATAGTGCTGAGGGTAGCGGTAGCAACAATGACGACTATTACTTTATCAGCGCTGCCAATACACAGCGTTTGCTCAATGATAGCGCCATGACCGCGGCTGGTGTGACAACTGCAGAATTTTTGCAACAACAACAGCAACAGCAATTATTTTACAACGATAGCGGTGGTAGCAATGGTAATGCCTCCGTATTTGTACTCTCATCACTCACCGTCACTATGAAAAGTATTAGCAATTTGGCGGCGTCCACTTCGACCGCTTGGAGTGCTGGGCTTGATATGGATAGCGGTGAAATGAATATGACTGCCGCCGAAATGTGCGCCGATCCGGAGGATGTACTGTCCAGTGTCTACTTTAAGACCATCGTCTATTTGCTATACATTCCAATTTTTATATTCGCTCTGCTCGGTAATGGCATTGTGTGCTATATTGTGCAGTCGACGCCACGCATGCGTACCGTTACAAATTATTTCATCGCAAACTTGGCTGTGGGCGACATACTGATGACGGTGTTCTGCATACCATTTTCGTTCGTTTCGATTTTCATTTTAAAACACTGGCCCTTCGGTACGGTGTTGTGCAATTTGGTGAACTACTCACAGGCCGTGTCGGTGTTGGTGAGCGCATATACGTTGGTTGCTATTAGTATCGATCGATATTTGGCGATCATGAAGCCGCTGAAACCGCGCATAACGAAGAGGTGAGTTGGGACGAGATTTATGTTTATGTTTATATATATTTATATATATTTAAATACTAATGTATATATATATCTCTTCCTTATGAAAGTATGCTAAAAACTCTGTTTACACAATCCCTTGCATCCTTTGCTCCCCATTTTCAACTCCCGTTATAGCGAATTCGACATAAAAGCTGGCTCGCGCTTTCATATTAAGATAACACCTTTGTAGTGTTTAATCTAACGATATATAGATTTATATAAACTTGAGTAAAGTTACTAAACTAAAATCAGCTGATGAATTTTTGTTCTGCAGCCAAACTTTTGCTAGTTCGCGACATAGTATGAGCTGCTGTCCAACATGACTCGGTGATTCATGCGTCAGTACGAGCGCGTGGGGACACCGCGGCTCGTGGGAATAATATTAATAATAATAATAATCACAGAAATGATTTCTTCGTAGTATCCTAATGCCCCAATATTAATTAAAAATAATTTTGAGGAATTTATTAATTTCGCCGCCAAAATATTAACACTATGCACAATTTCGTCTTCATCGCTTAAATACCATTTAATATTCAAACATTTGTTCTCTGGAAAAAGTTGTCACGTGTACGCCTGGAGACGCAAAAATTCACAATAAAACTGAAAATTAATTGACATCACTTTTCAACAGTAACTCAAAACAATTTGTCAGCACAATGAGGCTGGTGTTGCAAATTAACTTATTTCACCTTCAAAGGTGAAGGCAAGAGCAATTAAAGGGAAAAATACTTTCTTAGCAATTTATTACAATTAAAGCCATAAATTATTATAAACCAGAGTTTTTGTACCTTTCTCTTTATTGGCATAAACCACGAACAACATAAAATAAAATAAAATAAAATAAAATAAAATAAAATAAAATAAAATAAAATAAAATAAAATAAAATAAAATAAAATAAAATA